TAATATTGTCAAATTACAATTATAAAATTGAATATGTAAAATCGGAGCATAATATGAAGCCGATTTTTTATCACGTTTACCTTGAAAGTCAAAATGAGAGTCAAATTGAAGAAAAAAATTTGAAAAATATTTTTTAAATTATGTGTTTAATGTGTTGAAGGCCCCGTCAAATATTTCGCTTTTCAAAAAGGTTCCGTCTCCAAAAAAGTTTGAGAAACACTGCTCTATAATAATATGGGATCTATTCATTTAATTACATTTTATTTTCTCTAATTTTGACATATAAAGTAATATATTTTATAAAGTAGAACATTATGCAACTGATTACGAAAAGTTGATTATGTCACCAGTTACGAAATGAAAATAAATAAAATTGCCTCTTTTTTGGTTTTTAAGTTGAAAAATCGAGAAATCGAGCAATCGAAAAATCGAAAAATCTAAAAATAAAAAAATCGAAAAATCCAAACACGAAAAATCGAAAAAACCAAATATCGAAAAAAAGGCCGAGAATAGTGACATTTCACATTTAAAAATATGACATTACGTTTAACAACAAAAAAGAAAACAAAAAAGAAAAGCTTTAAATTGCGTTATATTTTTTAAATAATTGAACACCGTTATTGAAAACTGCCCAGAAATGTTGGGGGTAAAATTTTGACGTACTCCTTTAAGGATAATGGGTAAAAATGTTTTTTTTTTCAACATTCTCGCGGGTAATGTCAAAAATCAGATCGACAACACTGCACATGTTCCTTATTTTTATTATTATTGAAAAAAAAAAACGTCGTAGGGCAATCAAATACAACAATTTTCTGAAATATTTGATTGGAAGTACCTACAAAAGAATGCTGGTGAATTATTTTTCAACACAATTTTATAAATAATCAAGACAAAATTAGAAAAAATCTTGTATGTAAACACGTTACCAAATGCCGTTTTGTGTAACTCGTTCATTTTGCAGGACCTCGCTCCGCTCGTCCCGCAAATATATACTCGTTACACAAAATAAGGCATTTCGTAACTGGTTACATAAATAGCTATTAATTGACTTCCTAATATTTTAAATCATTGAACGGTATTTTCCGTAAATAATTAAATAATAAATAATTACCGGTATATAAGTACCAAAACATTTTTTTTTTCTTCGAAGAATAGGCTTATGTCAAATAAACTTAAAATATAACGAACGAAAAGGTAACCCATTTCTAATAAAATTTAATTATTTATTTTATTTTGGTGTGATCGTAGAAAAAATCTTATGTGTAATTCGGCAAAAAGTACTTTGGCTGTTTCGATAACTTTTTGTCTCAACAGCTATTTTGTTACAATAATTTTATAAACTTCTACTTAGGGTCGATTTCACCGTTTTGTTAAACGAAGTTTAAAATACTAAACGAAGATTAAAATGACATTTTTATATTAACAAAAATAAAGTTTAAATTACTAAATGGAGTTTAAAATGACATTTTTACATTAACAATGTCATTTTAATCTTCACTTAGTAATTTAAACTTCGTTTGACACAACGGTGGAATCGCCCCTTAGCTAGTTATATATTGATAAAGTGTTATTGCCCTCATCATAAATGAATCGTGCTGACAAATAAAGTCAAAAAAACGTGTTATAATTTTTCATCTTTACCTACCAAAATTAGGTACTACAATACAAATATTTAAGTCCGGCCCAGAACATCTCCCTACTCCTTCCACCCAGTTTTTCGGTTTTGGCAAAATTCGCGCAGTGACAAATGCTTCCTATGTTACCTCTACCCTTTCTAACCTCTTTGGAAATAATAAAACAATATTTTTCCTTTTTTTTTTAAGAAAAAAAAAAACAAAAAAAGCTAAAAGTTTCGGGGCTCGAACCACTAACTTTGCTATCCACACTATCCAAATTTTGACCACTGCGCCACCGAGCACATTTTGATATAAGTTTGGAATCGTTTATACTAATATTTACGAATTATTACTTTTTAATTAAACAAAATTTTATCATGTCAAATGATACCTACATTGTAATTTAATGGAATCACATAAATATATGATTTAAAAACTATAAAAGTATCATTATTACTTAACTTCTAGTTCTTGTATTGCATAAACGTTCCAGTCCGCAGACGTATATTTAACTCCGCTTCATACTAATACGAATAGGGTCGGATAAAACCTTCCATGGCTATAACGCTGTACCGCTGTGCCGGTTGGAGTGGGGGGTGTTAGGTTTTTTTCGTTACGGTGTTACGAAATTTCTTGATTCGGTCGCCACTCAAAGCCCGCGATAAAAGCTATGCAATAGCTTAAAATCGGTTAGGTATTCCTGTTTCCTATAAATTGGACTGTTTACTAAAAGACATGGGCATAAAGTCTTACGGTTACCACCTTATCATCCAGAATTCAACCGAATTGAAAAAATTTGGGCACTGGTTAAGTGCCCAATACCACATTTAAACTGGATGATGTGGAGAAATTAGCGAGGAAGAAATTTTCTGAAGTTTCTGATCAACAATGGTGTTCTATTTGCATGTAATACGAATCTGAATGGATTAAAAAAGAACACATTCTGGATAATGCTGTAGATTCTCTTGTGTTTACTGTAAATACAGGATCGTCTGATGAATCTACTTCAGAGGATGATTGCAGTAATAACAGCAGTAGGAGTATTATAGAATTGCTTAGTGACTCTGAAAGCGATTAATAATACAAGAAATAATTTTTTCCAGGTAGATTCTAGGCATATATATTTTTGTAATATGGCTCAAATTGATGATTTTAAAATCGATATATCACTAAGGTCACTAAACAAAAAATCTTAAATTTCTTCCTAATATAGTTTTCCAATAACTAGTAACTAACATCCAAAATTTCATTAATTTGTTTAACTATAAATGGGATTAAACAAGTTTGAATTTTTGTAGTAAGGGTAAAAAGTATAAAATTTTGTAAATTATTTCACACATGTGCAACTAGCAGTCAATTGAATAAGAAATACAACAAACATTTATTATCACTAAACTATTTTGTATTCATTGTTCTTATACTTATCGTTTGATTAGCTACTATATGTATGCTGCAGATTTCGTTAAAGTTTTTAAATGTGAAATGTTTTAAAAATTTATATATTTTTCGCTGCTTTTCAAAATTTAAAAATTAAAACTAAAGTTGCATATTTTGCCATATTATGGCATTTGAGTTCTAACTTTTCAATTATTTTTGCCAGTCATATGAGTAAACCATTTAATAATCAATATGTTACCAATATTTTTGAAGCATTCCGAAATTAAAATAAACAATTTTATAAGTTCCTATTTTGTGTTTTTTTACCTAAACGATATATTTAGGGCTGGAAGTAATAGGCTATTATCCTAAGAGGTCAATATCTCAACTAGTCTATTTTTTTATCCAAAAAACGTTTATAACCCAAGATTTTAAAGGAAATTTAATAAGCTTTTTGTTGTATGAAACAATACCTACACCTACCTCTACTCAGAAAGCAATTATAAAAAAAAATTTAAAAAAATAATTTTTGCGTTTTAAATTCTTTTTTATATTTTTTTACATAAAAAAATTTAAATAAATAATTTGATATGAAATAATCGTATTATTTACAAAAAATGTTATATTAACTGCATTAATTTTGCTTCGCCCAAAAAGCAATTATACGCAAAAAAAAAAATCTTTTGCTATTTAATTCTTTTTCTTATAATTTTTCCTTAAAATTTTTTTAAATAATTTGATGTGAAACTGCATTTACAAAAAATTTCGTATTAACTATACCTACATTTTGCTTCGTTTCCGAGATACAAATAAACAAGGGTTGCATTTTCACCCCTATCTTCAATTTCCGCTAATTCAATAGCATATGTATTGACCATTTGAATGATTTATGCCATAAAAACACATAAAAGTGATAATTCCTTTCTATATTACATATTCAATAGAGTCTATAAGGGATTTGCAAATTGCATTTTTATTTATTTCAACATTTCTTGCATTAAAACTGGTGAAAATGACAACACCATTTAAGAATTAAATTTGAAATGGTTACGCTACTGATTTGAAGTCAAGCATTAAATTTATAATATGGCGCTGGTTATGGCGACACGTTCGCGCATACGACTGCAACTTCAGATGGGTTCTTCTCTCGTGAACCGGATTCTAAATATCTTCTTTATGCAGTTGACCTGAAACATTAGCACAGTTTCTAATCTTCAAGATTGTGTGATTTTTGGTTAATTATGGTCATTTATGGTAGGATTAGGGTGGTTTTTACCCTTCCATTATTTCAACTGGTTTAATTTTTGCTTTGAACAATGACTCTTCAATTTTTATTTGCTTAGGATTGTATGACTACGAACATTCAGTTGATTAGCCTATTTTGCCGATTTTGTCGATTTTTTTGTCGATTTTGTCGATTTTTTTTCAATTTTGTCGATTTTTTTTCGATTTTGTCGATTTTTTCGATTTTGTCGATTTTGCTCATTTTTTACATTTACATATTAAACTCTTCAATTAAATAGCTAAATACCAAATTCTATAAAAATCGAACGAGGCGTTTTTGAGTTATTAAAAAAATTTAAAATGTCCTTTTAACTTTAAAGCTTTCTCACAGGCAAACACGAAGCATTTTGTGATATATGGCTGAATCGACTTATTTTGATATGTACACCGAATTTTGGGACACCCTGTATTCACTCAAAAAAAAAGTATGTATTCTTTGTAAAACACTACTTACCGTGTAATAATGGTCTTTTTTTATCACGAAAGAAACAAGAACGACACAAAAGCAGTCTCGAACGCGATATGTGAATTCTCGTCAATACGAGAAAACCATTTTCCCTCGCGAGGCTTCTCTCGTCTCGTCTCGTTTCACGGTATACTAAGATAAAAGGTATTTTATACTATTCAAGTTGCCCTAATAAAAAAGTACATTTTTCATTTTCGCCGAAACAAAAAACATATCGCAATTTAAAAAAAACGAAATGAAACTCAATAGGTACTTACTTGTTAACGGGCACATTGGTGAGACACTGAAAATTGTTGCGTACACTCCTTAAACTGGCAAGGATTTGAGCAAAAGGCGTCACAATCAGATCTTCGCCATGGCTGAAAGAGAACAAAAAACTAATTAAAAATACGGAACGCTAATGAATAATCATTTTTAGATTAATTTTTTTCGCTAGCAACTATTTTACGTACAACAATGGCAAGAGAATTTTTAGTTTCATTTATTTTACGATTTGTGGTGTTCGTGATGTCTAGACATACGTGAGACGTGAAGTTTGTAAAAGAAACCACAATTTCGAATTTAACGATTTGAACGTTCATTCCTATGACTGTGCATGTGCATGTCTATTTTTGTACCGATTTTATGACTTCTAAATTTATTACTGTTTTAATTTTATTAAGGGAGTATTCGCGTTTTGCGACAATGACAACCGTGAAGTTGATAATTTCATATGAATCGTCACTTTTTTTAATATTATTGTTATTCATAAAAGAAACTGGACATAAGAGATAAGAGAACTGGTATATCAGAAAAGAGAAAACTAGGAAATGGTAGTAAAAATATAATAAATATGGCTACCCAAAGACTGAGGAAAAAAATGCTAAATCACAAAAAAGAATCCTTGAACAGATACCTAGTAGGACTAACAGATGTCAAAGAAACTGATTGCTCGCTCTGGAAGACAACTAAAATGATAAAACACCCGTGTACCAACTCCACACAATAGCAGATAATAAATGGACAAAAAACAATCAAAAGAAAGTTGATATTTTCGCTGACCACCTACAAAAGAGATTACAGTTGAAGAAAATCAAGACTCTCCAAATGAGACTATCCATTATGCAACAACTTGAAATTAGGCTAGTTACTCCCAATGAAGTTGCGAAAGAAATCCAGACAACATAAACCATCTATTTGCATTTGCTGTTTGCTCAGTTATATTCCTTGATGTTGTCAAAGAATTTGACAAGGTTTGGTACACTGGCCTGATAAAGAAACTTCGAATAATGATTCCTAGACAATATGACCGACATTCTTCAATCATATTTAACGGGGGATCAACATTAATCACTCCAAAAGGAAGCCAACTGGAGAGACCACATACTAGCCGACAGATATGAAGAAAATACCGGATTTTATAGACTTTGCGATAACGATAACAAATATACACAGTCACCGAATTCAGATTCAAATCACTGCTCTAGTTATAACTCTGAACACAAATATCAAAGCTATGCAATAATAAACCAATACATAATTAACAACAATATGAGCTTGACACATAAAATCAAGAACCACCAGAAGTCGACGAATCCTTTGAATATACAAGAACCTAATACAGAACGCTGCCTGACATCAACACCAATAATCCTCAAAGAAACAGCAGAATCACACAATTTTCCACTTCATATAAGGCAACTGGTAACTGAGAAATGAAGCAGCAACCAGCAATCCTCGAGATGAATCAATTCTGAACATACCAACTCACCGTATAAAGAACGAAAATAGAAACCGAAATGCTACAGCTTTGGCCGAAGTATCCATCAACAATGTGGCCACTTTAAGATGGATCAAAGGTCACGCCACATCGAAAGGTAACCGTCTTGCTGATTCACTAGCCAAGAAAGCAGCCAACCAAATACTTTTTGGACCTGGCCCTTCTATTGGCCTGACAAAATCGGTAGTGACAGACCTAATTAAAGAACATTCCCTTGTGAAATTCAAGGAAAGATGGGATGAAACAAGAAACCGCAGAGTTAGCCTGACAACACTGCAGCAAACAAATACTTAACTATGACTAGACAGAATCTGCGCCTAGTCACAGACATTCTGACTGATCATTGCCAAGTACGGAAGCATCTCCATATCATGGAGCTGTCAGAATACGCACTCTGCAGAGGGTGCGAACAAGAAGATAAGACCATCGAGCATATCCTTTACGATTGCTTTAGAAGATTTGTGTTCGGCGAGTATCGGCTAACACCGGCCGATATATGAGAAGCACCTCTTGGCGACGTTGTCAACTACATTAAATCTGTAAATCTGGCTCACGAGCTAGGAGGTGCCTATAGGAGAATGCACAATGGGCCTAATGAAGCCTAAGTGCCGTAGGGGTTACCCACTCTTCACACGTTACAGATACAGAAGTCAACGTACAAACATTTTTAACCAACTAACAATACATAAAGTCAGGTGTTCCCCAAGGAAGCGTCCTTTGCCCTTTCCTGTACCTACTATATACTGCTGATATTCCGACCACCGATAATACACTCATTGCCACCTTTGCAGATGATTCTGTAATCATGTCAACAGATCGAGACTCTACATGAGCATCAGAAAGAGTACATTATCACTTAAATTTACTACAAGATTGGCTGCAACACGTTCACTACAAAACGCAGTTTTCATCAACAACATGCAAATACCAGAGAAAACTGAAGTTAAATTTCTTGGATTACACTTAGATCAAAAGTTAACTTGGAAAAATCATTATCAATGCTTAAAAAGAACACTTGAAGCTAAAAACTCAAAAAATAAACTGGTTTATTGGACTTCTTTCACAGTTATCACTTTAAAACAAGGCACTTCTACATAAAGCCATACTGACACTAATCTGGACATATGGTATATATTTATGGGGTTGTAGCAAATCATCGAACATCAAAATTGTACAAATGTTCCAATTTAAAACACGATAACTAATGCTCCATGGTTCATAAGCAACCAAAAAATACATAATGATATTCCAACAATGAATAAAGTATCCTGACCGACAAGAGGGGGGGTAGCCGAGACTAATTCCCTATTCCCGGGCTCAAGTGGGGGCCGGCAACTTTGGTGAGGACGTTTTTTATTTCTTCAGAAGTTCGGCACAAGAGGGGGGAACTTTTTTTAGAGATTCCGTTAAGAGGAGGAGAAGTTTTTGCTTGAAGACCTTTTTTTAGAGAAATGGAAGAGAATTTTTGCTTCAAGACCTTTTTTTTAGAGAAATTCAAGTAAAAAGGAGAAGAAGTTGTTTTTGCTTGAAGACTTTTTTTTTTAGAGATACGTAGTAAACAGGAGGAGAAGGTTTTGCTTGAATACCTTTTTTTTGAGAAATTCAAGTAAAGAGGATGAGAAGTTTTTGTTTGAAGACTTTTTTTTAGTAAAGAGGAGGAGAAGTTTTTGTTTAAAGACTTAATTTTTTATAAAATGTCGCAAGGCCCGACCTGGAGAAGTGTCCCGGGGCCCGACCTGGAGAAGTGTCCCAAGACCCGACCTGGCTCTCAGCGGCCCTGATCCTCACCCTAGCTGACAAAAACAAAACTAGGTATTAAAATCATACACATCCACTGATCGGTAACCTTTAAACTGATCCTATGAGATGCAGAAGACTAAAACGTTTCTGGCAGTAAGACCTCTTAGAGTAAACCTCGGAGACCCATCGATGGCTTATCCCCGCCTCAGCCACCTAACAAGAAACCAAACGATTTACTTATTACTCTTTATACTCTTGAGTAAATGGTAAATTTGCAATATACTAATAAAAAAAAATAACGGGAAGAATGTTTAGAATGAAACAAAAGAAGGTATACTCCAAATTGAAAGAAATTAAAGGAGGTATCCCACAGGGTAGTGTGCTAGGACCGGTTCTTTACTTATTATACACTAGTGATATCCTTAGACAACAATGTGTTAAAATAGCAACATTTGTGGATGGCACTGCAATATTGGCAGTTAGCCGAAATAATACAGAAAACCAGCAACTTAATTAATTGATAGACCATGTTGATTTTGCTTATCGGAAAAAATGAAAATAAACAAATTAGAGGGGGTGGGTGGCTCAGTGGTAGAGCCTCTGCCTATGGGCCCAAGGGTCCCAGGTTCGAATCCCACCGTTGGCCGGAATTTTTCCATTTAATTTAATTATTGAAAATTAATTCTGCCTTGGTAGGATTCCCCACTCGCCCATTCACTGTTGGGTTCTAATTAACAGTGCTGTTCCTAAAGTGGTGCTGGGAAACAGTAACAAAGCCTACACAGAACACGAGGCGAAATAACCTTAGCAGTTGAAGCCGATGACACACAAAAAAAAATTAGAATGAACAATGATGTTATTTCGGCGAAATACCTAGGGATGAACCCAGAAGTACGACTTAAATGGAAAGAGCATATAAAAAAGCTTAAATTTAAGAAAATTATTGGCTCCTTTGAAGAAAATCCAAGCTGCCAGTGTACAATAAACTGTTAATTAAAACCAGCCTGGATGTATGGCATACAGCTATGGGAATGAGCCAACAAGAACACTATCAATATGATAGAAGTTTTCCAAAATAAATTCATAAAATGCATCTTGATTCTATCGAACCGATTATCTTCAAGAGACCTGAAGATGCTAATAGTCGAAGAAAAAATAAAGAGGTTTGCTGCGAAACATGAGGGTCGACTCTATTTATACAGCAATAAAAAAACGCTACAACTGGACAACTCTACTTAGTGGGTTACTACACTAGGGTGATAAATACAAAAAGTGAAATACACCAGTTCTCAAAAAAAAAAATACTAAATTTTACACCCATTACTAATGTGTTACACACTATTTACGCATCTAAAGCATTGCACCTATTATTTAGCCCATATTTGTTCATATTGTTGCCAGTTTTCAGAATTTGTTCAAAATCTTCGTAAAACAATAATAGTACAAAATAAAATTATAATTTTAATGCAGCTTTGTTATTTAAAAACTATTTTTTAACTAACTTTTAGGTGAAAGAACTTTTGGTGTGTGCCAGATCTAGTGGTGTAATCATTTATTTTTATAAAAAAATTACTAAATGTATAACTTTTTTACTATATGTTACCTTCGAGCATATATTACTAGAGCCATAATCCAAATGGACTTTGTTTTGGTACAGGGGGAAAAATAGTGTCCAGCATTGCCATTGGTCTGTCAAATCGTTCAAAATTGTCGGAACTATCATTTGATAATTGATTTTCATTTATTTCTAGCTTATTTTTATAGTTTATAGGTGATTTTTTGTATTTTATTACTTTAGTGATACAAATTTTAACAATGGTGAGAGAGTTTGTGCAAGTTTTAAATACAAATATGAAAAGC